TTGTAAACAACAACAGGTACGTCATAAGCATACAGATTAATATTTATTAGAATCTTACAATTAAACATTTATATAGTATATCTTTGCAGCCTTGTAGACGCATCTAAGTGATTTGAACGCTGTCGGGTGCCTTTGGACGTTCCCCGTAGATGCCGACCCCAACGCCTTCGTTGGCTTTGGAACCTGTCTATGAACCAACGCTGTCCGTTCCCCAGTACAGTTTTCTCTGATTATGCTGGTAGAACCGACACTATTTTAGTAAACAGTAATGTAGAAGAATGCTTGCGTACGTTTTTCTGCATTGCTTGAAAGCAAGGTAGCAAGCAATCCTAAAAATTGTGCCCGTTATCGAGAGCCGTAGCAAGAATTATTCAGCCGTAAAAGGTTGGGCGCTGCGCCTGTGCAGGTGATAATTTTTTTAATTCTTGCACGGCGTTTAACGGCCTCTCTCGATCTCCCCTTATAAACGGAAAAAGGTTGACAAAGTAGGTACGTCGGGCACCGTCGATGGCACCGCTAGCGTTAAGTGTTTAAACAAACATAAAGACAATGTCGCCGTCGTAAGAAATTTACGTCTGCGTATAGAGTGTGATCGGGGCATCATGGGGGCCGGTGCGCGCAAAAAGTTTCACACGCAACAAACGTTAATAACGATAATTAATGCGTCGGCGTGGGCGTACCTTAAACGATAAACGCATGTTGAAATAATTGACGCGAGCTGGCGCCACCTATTATTTATCATCTCGTTTTTAGCCGCGGCGACGGAGAGAAAGCGAGTTTTTCGAGTGGCAAAAAATTCGTAAACGACCTTTTAACAGATGAGTTATTTAGATAGCCTAAAAAGGGTCTTGCGCCCGCGCGCCGGCGACGCAGACGACCGCGGGCCGATGGATTTCGATTCCGTTTATTCTCTTTTTCGCAAAATTTTCTGCCGTACAACGATCGATTTAATAGGAACGCGCTATTTTGCTTTGTCCGCAATTTCTACCTTGCGTCGATAAAATGCCGAATTTTTCTACATTGCTGGAACATTCCACTTTCTACATTGCCTTCGGTATTGATTGGTGCCACCTCCCCTTATAGAACACCCTGCCGAGCGGACCCTTACCCGTAACCATTCCAGAACCGTTGTTGAAACATGTACATAAAAAAATTAGTGCAATTTCATTACATTTCTATATAGTATCTTATTGATATACCAAAAATATTAAACATAATAATAATAAAGTATCAGTCACTTAAAAAATCATCGCTATCGCTACTGTTGTCACCTAGTTCAATGATCAATTCCGCCACTAATCGTTCTCTATAAATATTTTCTTTTATTACTCGTTTTCCACAGTTAGATCAGCTTTGTACTGATATTTTAGCTACCTCTTGCCGAATTACGTTCATGGTACTATGACTAAATTTTGGTGCAGTATAACTTAGACCAAATCATCTCAATCGGGTTAACTATACAATGATACGTGGGTAATCTCAAGATTTCATGTCCGTTTTGTTGTACTAGACAATTGATTTTGTAGTCTTTATTAAAATGTTTTTTTTTTTAATAATTCTAGAAGTTGTTTTTTCGTGTAGTTCTCTTTAAAATATAAATCATTTTCGTACATAAAATCTTTAATTTCGTCTTAATTTAAAGACGCATTTGTAATTTGAATGAACTGAAACAGTTTCAGTCAAGCTCTGAAGAAGTCAACAGAACGATTGGCGAAACGTCAGCAATTTCGATTAAGCAAAAACCGACGCAGAAGTTTTGTGAAAAGCATTACAGCAGCCTGTGAAAGTTTCTTTGAAAAAAAAACATAGAGTACGGTTACTTATCCTTGTCCTTTGAACTATCCAGTGAAAACAGCCTCGCAGGCTCAAAGCTCTAATATCTGTCGGGATGTGTTTTACCACGGTCTTCGAAGGTCTGCCGTTAAGATACTGTAAAAAACTTAAAACGCCAAACAATAAATACACCATATTTTTGGTCATATTATACAACAATTTATCCAGTATCTTTATACTTTGCTTTGTCAATAAATGATTTTTTCTACATTGCCTCTTGGAATTTTTGCATTTTTGTACATGAATCTAATTTTTCATGTATCCATTGTTTACAACGGTTCTGTATTCGTCTATTATATACTCCTTAATAATTTCTACATAAGCTTCGATTTTGATTTTGTAAATTCTTTGTTTTTGCTGATATTCGTTTTTTTAAATAGAAATTTTCACATTGGCGTACTTGAAATCTAATCCTATTTTTCTGTTGTCGGCTCCCTTGCAATTGGTAAATGTTTTCTACGTTGCTTCGAACGTCTTGTCGTATGATTTAATGAAAATCTGTACCATGTTTTTGGTCGATTTGATTATGCCGCGCAAAAATATCGATTGCCTTCGCTGACGGCTAGCAAACGTACCCGTCCATAATGTAACTGGTCGGCCACGTTGTCCATTTAAATCAGCCGCATCGTATTTTTCCGGAGATGAAGCGGAAAACGTGTAACGCATTTGTCGTACAAGCCGTTAAAACTTGGCAGGACATTTGTTACAAAATAAATAATGGTTCTGGGCGACCGGGTAACATAATATGTGTGTAAACATGTATTTATTCTGTACTTAAGTTATTGGCGGTGCCCGCGCTTCGCGTACCCGAAAATAAAAAAAAAATTAAGCGCCGCACATTTCGTCTTTAATTGGACGATAGGACGAAATTGATTCCTTTTCGATCTAATTGGTTATACGAGAAATCCACGACATACGATACGGGGGACGCGTCGGACCTCTCGGTAGTATAAAAAATATAAATAATGGTGAAAATTAATATTCATAATTGCGGTGCGTTCGGAGTCGAATCGACGATTCCGTCGAAGACGGTAAAGCCATTATCGGACACGCTGAGATGTTGAGCAATGTCGACCTCTCTTAACCCGGCAGCGCTTCATTTTTACCACCAAAATGCAACATAATAGAACGAGCATAAATCGGAAAAGGACTGAACTAGTACTCGATGTACCACCAAAAGGTACCGTAGACCTTAAAAAAAGATAAATAAAAAGCAGTGGACGAAATAAAAAGCACAGAGATGTAAAGAGATGAATTTGTATAAATCTGTTCTACCAAAATGTTCCGTTGAAACAGACAATACCAGCATAGAGTCATAAAAGTCTGACTGTACCAAATATCAACCCTAAAATACGATTAATAAAAAACAGGGGATAAAATAAAAGAACGAAGATGTGTACTAATTTGTACCATCAAATTGTAACGTAGACCTTACAAAATAAGATAAATAAAAACAAGATAACGAGAAACAAGAAATTGGTACAGATAGCGGACAGTGGAAAGTGGACAGTGTTAACATTTTTTGTGGTACAAGTTAACAGTGTTTTCTTTTAGTTTTAGCGTGTTTCTGCTACCTTGACATCGCCTGGCAATGTTTTTTAACACCACGTGGTACATGTATTTGTGGTACAAATCTATTATTTTCCGCCTCTGTTATTTCTTCTCTTTCTCTTATTTTTTAGCATATTTGTGTTTGGCATAAGTACATTTTTCACCTGTCATTTGGTATAAAACAAATATTTTTATTTTTATTTAGCGTATTTGTGCTAGGTTAATCCTTTCCGTTACTTTTTTCTTTTGATTCTTTCCGTTGATACAAGTTAGTAGGAATCTGGCTTTCTTTCATTTTTGGTATGTTTTTACTCCTGTATTGTAGTTTTCATATTTTTCGTTTTTATTTTTTTCTACTTGTTTAATAGTATTTTATTATGTGTTACAAATTAATATAAATTCTGAAAATTTCCATTGCAATTTGTTTTTTCGTCTTGGGTTTATTTTTGCGTTTGTTGTTGATTTATTAGTTTTTCAAAAGCAAGAGGTACCTTGGATTGCTTCTTTTTAATATTAATGCTATTTATAATGTACGTACATATTTTATTGGGTGGTACAAATCAGTAAAAAAAAATTCAATGAGTTACCGGGTCGTAGCGGCCCATTTGTTGATGCCGGTTTCAGAGAGGTATTAATATCGAGCATTTTTTTTTTGGGTTTTAAATTAAACGAGGACGACGAGATCAAACACTGTTATCATAGCGATGATAAGAACGCCGCGCCGCGCCGCTCCGCTAGGTTTATTTAATTTCGTGTGTGTGCGTGTGATTTATTGTTAATCCTTTTTTCTTGGGAGCTAGGGGAGGGGCGGCGAGGGGGAGTGTGCGAGCACATTTCGTGGAGCGGTGACGGTTGAGGGGGTGGGGAGCATCGCGGAAAAAGAAAACACGCTCGGCCGGCTAGTAGATGTAGTAAAGATTAGGATGTTTTTCTGGTTTTATTGTCTTTTATCAGACGCTCGATTGTCTTGTCACGTTTTGGATTTGGGACTATCAAATATTTGGTCATAGTGATGGCGGGATGAATTTTTACACCGCGAAGCACCAGACTGACGGACGTGGTTCGTAAAATACCGCTCAATTGCAGAAAAAAAAAAGTTGTAAACATCATCATGTAGTTTCAATTGGAATTCATCTCAATTAAGAATAGAATATTAATTATTCAAGAAACGAACCAACACAAAGAAGGAAAGATTTTGGATCGACTTGACATAAATTGTTTCTAAAGAGACGGTCCTATGTTATTATTTTGGTTTTTTGTAGAACAATCAAAATTAATTTTCATTATAAAAAACGATTGAGCAAAATTTTCGGAGCAGCGATTTTATGTATTCGAAATAACGTCTAAAATTTCTTCTTGAGAGACGTGTTTCAATAATTTTCAAAAACGAACGAATGGACGATGATGTGCCGGAACATGCCAGAGGGGCTTGTTCTACGATTTATGGGCGAGTAAAGCTTTGAAACCTTTCTACGAAAGAAAAGGGAATTCTGTAAGGAGGGAATTTTTCATCCTAACGTTTAAAAAATTACTCCTTTATATCAGAGATTTTCGCGTTGCGACGTACTAGGAGGGAATCAGGGGTCTGCGCAAATGAAACAATCCTCGTTCAATTATTCGTTTTTATTGTAAATACATCTTCAGTATTACGGAATGGAATGTTACGGGGGTATAAGGTTTTTTTTTACTCTCTACAGATCTTACGCGACAGTGAGAGGCCCACAGACACGCGCACACACGCACACACGCACACACACACACACACACATATACGCGTGCGCGCATGCACACACGCACGCACGCACGCACAACAAAAAAAACGCGCTTAGCCTCGTCGGTTATCGTTTTATTTGGTGACGACATTTTGCGGTTCTCCATTAAAACATGGAAGTATCGGCCGGGACCGTCGACTGGAATCCGCCCCCGCCTATGTTTAGACGGGCCGCGAAAGGCAGTGGCGGCGCTTCCTCCCGCGGCCGGTTACGGAGTCATTTACAAAAATAAATATAATAAATATACAAGCCGGTTATAATACGAACGCGCACCTCACAGAGGTCAAAAGATAAAAAATAAAAAAAAAAACAAAAAACGAAAAATTAGATCTGTACAGGTTATACATTCACCAACCGCGACGAGCGACAAAGAGAAATCATATAAAGTGCTTTTTTAAATTATAGAAAAATAAATTAAATCGGTATAAAAGTATGTATATATATATATATCTGTATGTATGTATATTTATATATATATATAGCTATTTTGTACAGTACATATACAAGTGCGGTTTAAGACTACAAAAATACTGACGCTATTGTATACGCGGATACAAGGATGTCGGACCCAGCGGGAGGACAAATTCATCCTTGCCCGTCGTAACCCGCGAAGTTGCGGAGTTGACGTAAAACACTCATCCTCGAATACGACATATTAAGTACATAATAGGTAAGCGTACGGACGAAGAAGCCTAACATACAGGGTTGCTTGTTAAATGTTATTTGTTTAAGAGAGTCGGCGGGAGTGTTTTGCGCACACTCCGTCACCCAGGCACCACACACCGGCGCACTATAAACTGTATTCAGTTGATCGTCTCGTTGATGCGCATCTTGCGACAGATGACAGACAGTTCTCGCATGTTCCTGAGCTCGCCCTTGCAGAGGGCTCGGTAGACGGCGTGCTGGTAACCGTTGTAAACGGGCTCGTTGAGTACCAGGAAGTCGCCGTACTCGTCGCAGTGCTCGTGTCTGTGCGCGTTGTCGTCCATCGAGAACCGGTTCTTCTTCTTGCAGTTCCGTTTCACTTTAGGCTGTCTGCCATTGCGGTTGAAAATAATTTCGGTCGAGTTGTCGAGCGACGCCTGCAATCTGACGTACGACGTCCTCGTCGACGGGTAGTCCTTGAACTTGCAGTACGGCCAAAGGTTCCTCGCGTTGATCCTCTTGATATTCTGCGCGAAAGAAACCGTCACCTTTCGTCAGCACTTAGTCGCGATAACTTACCATTCCGATCACTCTGTCTAACGTCTTTTTCCAACATATAAACCTCTTGGCGTTCGAGTCGTACAAGTAGAAACCGACGTCGTTGTAGTCGACCGTAGAGATCTTGTACAGGTTCAGTTTGCCGTCTTGATTATCTGCTGCTAATGAAAACGCAAGTCGGTTAGTTACGGGCATGGTATGAATCGATGTAGTTTACCTTTGCGCGCCAGTACCTGCTTCCCTATGACTTGGACGTAACCTTGCCCGCGATTGAGCCGAAAGTTTTGAACTCTGACGATGCAAACCGGGCCCAAACACGCGGAGTTGCAGATGTCAGCCAGGCACTGGAACGTAAACAGATATGAGTCATGGAATTTACTAGAAGCTCCGCGATTTTAGAAGAGTCTTAAGCGATGTTGACTTTGTATGCTAAGATGCAGCGAGTCCTTCGATATCTATTCGGGTAGCATCGACGTTGTTCGTCTGAGTGCCTGACGGCTTACACTAAATTGGGAGAACGCCATTTTTGATAACGTAACAAATAAACTTGAAGAAACTAGAGAAAGTAATGATCATATATAAGAAAAATGCTCTTTAGAAGACGATTTAATACGCTTTAATACGAGTTTAAATTGATTAAAATTTATTTCTACTTTTTAGGTAGGGACTGCATGCTGGCCACTCCATAACTCGAAAACCGACTTCTGTAATGTAATCTTGCACGATCCGTGCGGTGTGCGGCCTAGTATTGTCATGTATAAGAATGAATTCTTCTCCAACGTAGTCGACATATGGTCTTACGTGATCTGATAAAATAGCTTCTAGCACCTGTTAAATCTCCTGCCCCTTGTCCACGGCCGCCCCTACGGTTGAAAACACCTCCATCAGGCCTCCATATTCTGAGAACAGAACAGACCCCCATGTTTGTCGATGAGCTGGAGTAAGTTTTAGACCAGTTGCAGTTGTTTTTGGGGTCGGGTTATTTTCATTCAGTCTTCTTCCCACTGTCTACTAACTAATAGCCACTCATCGAACTTCATGCAGCTGTTGTTGCACAATAAAGCGGTCATCACGAGCCTTTTTAATTCGCCTTCGGCCTGTTCCGAGGCGCATAGCAAAGGATCGAATCTCCTCATACCGTTGGCATTCTCTTCGAACTGCTGCGCGTATCATATTCAGTTATCGAGCAACAGCTCGCTGGCGTCCACTTTCGATTAAAGCGATAAATTGAGCGGCAAGCATCAAGCTAACACAATTAGACGCTAACCAAATGGTTAAGTCTATAAAAAGTTTGATACTATCACTATAATTACTGCATGAACACGTTTCACTTCTTTAATCAACAAATTTAAACTCATACCAAAGCGTATTAAATTGTCTTCCAGAATAGAATGTTTATGGTTTGGGTCAGATGAATAGTTTCAAGAAGAAAAATATTCTAAAGTCAAAAATTTACAGTGGGCCGATTTCTATGCACGCAAGTTTAGTTGAAAAAGATCGATCATCAATAAATTTCAAAATAATGACTCACTGAAAATTTAGAAAACTTCGTAGCTCGGGGGGAGATCGTGTCCGGGGCACCACCAAAAGTACGACTCGAATACTTACCATTGTAATAAGTAGCAGAAGTATCGCCCTCTCTGGTAGTTTTGATTTCCTGAAACAAAAACGTGTCGTTTTAATGTAGTCCGTGATTTCGCCCGCGACAATTAAATCAAGAATCGCGTCGGTAATAAACAATGTCGTATTTTTAATTGGACTAATCTTGGAACACGACCCAATCGTAAAATCCCATTCGAATTCCGCCATTTTACGAGTTTCCCGAGAGCGATAGAGCTCGGGAACCCGCGGGCACCGCTTTTATGACGTCTTAAGGTACGAACGATTACTTTTTAATCGCGCGGATTTGTCGCCTCGGTTTTACAGAAGTTTAACAAAGATTGACGATGTTTTATTAAACAATTTACGCTCTTTTATTTGCAACTTATGTCAGGACCGTAGAAAACAGCCGATTTATAATGTTTTATCCAGTATTTACATTGATTTATCTTTGATTTACAGATGATTTAAACTAGTTACTTTCAAAAAATCGATGAAATCGAATTTTGAGAAATTATACGCGCTACGTACAGCGTCGCCAATGGTGCAGATGGAATCAACGTCGAAAATAAAATTTTTATTTTTTTGTCTGTTCTCCGTTCTCTGTTCTCTGTCGCCGCTCCTTAAAAACGCGAATAACTTCCGAACGGTTGAAGTGAGGGAGCTGAAGTTTCGCTCCTTTTAAATTGGCCGCGAGACACATAGGCCCATAGGGAATGGCGGCGATTGAAAATTGGCATCTGTATTTTTTTGCGATTTTCGTTCGAGTTTAGTCCCGTAACGGAACCTATTGAACTTTGGGGGGCTTAGGGTCAGGAAGTATTTTTAAAAATTTAAAAACCGCATTTACAGGGTATCGAGAAAAAAATCATTTCTCAAAAACGGTATACGCGATGGATTCTTGAACCAGAAGACGGGCGGGGTCCTGGCCGAAAACATTTATTCTTGATGATTTTTTAAAAATGTACAGGGTGCGCCGACAAATTGCAAAAAACTGAAAATTGGCCATAACTAGAAGGTTGTGTTTCAGCAGCCATTTTCTATCACGCGCTCATATAGTCCGTATGGACTGCTAAAACTTTTGTATTTTAGGTTTTCACATATTGTACAGGATGTTCAGGATATTCTGTACCATATTCAAAAACGTGTTCAAATTTGTAACTATCGCCTTCAAATTTAGCAGAGAAGTGAAAGTCCACACCTACATCTAAACCGTAGAAAATTTTTTAAATTTTTGTCTTTGTTACCAGAAAAAACAAAATTTCTGGAAAAATATTAATTTGATCGGCAAAATTCTTTTACCAGCAGACGCGGAAGATTCGGTACTGCAACTTCTATTTCAAGCCTTTTTTTGATTACGTACAGGGTTTTTCAATTATAGACAAAAAACCAAAAGACCCTGGTTTTCAGAGTAAATTATTAGTCGTAAATCAAAATAAAAAATATGATATTGTACAATGCATCAAGAGCAACAATTTTTGTATTTACGGTTTTCGTTTATCACTCATGCTGTTCGAAATATTTGAAAGAATCTAAATGAAAATCACCATTTTATGGCCTTGATCTAAAAGCGATCACGTCATTTACTATTATGACGTACTGCCTAGTTTCAGAAAACAAGTACTATTTCCAAAACCATTTACTCTATTGGAAAAATTCATATACCGGGCTAAATGGCAGATCCAGGGCTCTATTTCAAAGTTTGTTTCAATTATATGCATGGTGTATCGTTTATGGGCAAAAAATCTAAAAGATCCTAAAAATCTCCGTTTTTGTTGGTAAATTATTGGCGACAAATGAAAAACCGTTAAAGATGGGATAATTTGATTTGAAATTTTGAGAAATATTCGACAACGCTATTATTTGTGCAAATTTTAATATTTAACAAACTTTGCCGTAAGTTTGGAGTTCGGGCGAGACATGAAGAACACTTTATACAGTGTGTGTGCACAATAAACTTGCATCGACTTTGCGAAAGTTCCATAGTGGGCCGGATAGAAAACCAATGCGTCCCTTTACCACAAGTATTTCTTTTTAAAATAAAAACTCCTTAGCTCTGCGCCCTACGGAACTTGCCCCGCCCAACTTACGATTCTTCGAAAGCAATCTTGTTGTAAACGCATTTCGCTTGCGCGTGATCTGCTTTGTTTACCACCTGAACGGTGTTTTATTCAAGAATTAACTTGATGATACGAGAACTGGAAATATTTCCACGACCATGACGACTATTGGCTTAATATTATTTCATCGCGAATTTACGAGCATTTATCAATGGCTTATCGAGGATTTAAGTTACGAATGCTCGTGGCTCCATTTGTTTATGGCCTATAACATGGGGGATCTCAAGTATTTCGTAGTGATTTATAGTATTTCATCTAGGATTTACGATAATTTATCGATCATTCGCCGAAGATTTGAGTCCGTTTCTGTGCAACCCATTAATTTATATTGTTTTTGGGAGGACGCACCACCATTTTCCAATGACTTATCGATGATTTAAGTGAACTGTTTATGTAATGATGTTTTGTTTTATGTCGTTAAAAGATTAATAAGGATTTATTTTTTGAAAACAACGCATGGCGCCAAAGCTTTCGCCGTCTTTCGACTTAATAAAAGAGCTCAGTGCCGAATGACGTTGAAGTTCGCCTTGCGGCGTGAAATTTTTCAGTTTTCACGCGTTTCTGCGCCCGATTCGAAGTAAAAGTGTCGGTATTTCCCCTGACCGCGCGGAACGATATCTAATCGTTAGATCTCGCATATCTTTAGCGATTTTTGCGCGTAAATTACCATTGGATTCGAGTCAATGCCACCCGCATTCCCCGTACGGCGATACGGGGAAAAAATCCGAGAAAATATTAAACGATAAATTTGTCGTCGCGGTTTGCGAAACTGACGGGCATTTTTCTGCATCGCCGAAACTCTCAGCTCGGTACGCAATGCCCGAAGATTAAGATCGCAATCGGCAAGCGACATTGTCGAACATTTGCAAATCGCGCAGACTTCGTCGGGGATTTTTCTTTTTTTTTATCGGAAAACGATTTTCGCGTAAGCGATAGTTTGTCCCGCTATATTTGGACAAGGAAACGAAATATTGTTAATGTTTTTTTTTTAACATTGAAGTCGTTAATATTAAGACCTCGTAAAGACTTTGAAAAAATTACGGGTTAAATGAATATAACGTTAGGGAGGAACATTTGTTCCTAGGAGAAGGTTGGTGGTGACCATATCGAAGGATTATATGTCGTTTCAAGGCAGCATATTAGAATTAGTTTTGGTTAGTTAGTTAGTTTGGCATTGATTGACTCCAGGAACTAAAAATTGGTCAGTAATTTCTTTCTTTACCAGTGCAGAGTAAATTTGATTTTATAATTTCAATAGTAATAAATATTATTAAAAGAAATTGAAAAATTTTCAGTTCACAAGAAATGATAAGCCACTAAGTTATTTGGTAAATTTAAAAAAGTAAGAAAAAATATAAATATCTATCTCCATCTTTGAAAAGGTTAATTCGTAGAACCCAAATGTAAAATATAATATAAAAATATTGTATAAGTCTGTCATTTAACTTATTAGACTTAAAACCCATTTTAGAACACCGATAATTATACAAAAATGGCTGCCAAAGGTCAGTTTTAGAGAACCCCAAACGAAAAGTAGAAGATTATACCCAGAAAGTGGAGGAATGCTCGGCATAAGCCAAGTTTTTGTACAAATCGTCCTTTAGAGGCAAGAAAAAAGAACCCTTTACAACTATTGAGCATTCAAAACATTTAGTGCCGAAGTTTGTACAACGCTCCTCTGAGTATACGTGCCCTAACGTTCACGCGAGTTTACCTGTCCCAGTTGTGCGATATCTAATCTATAATAATCTAAATCCGAACCAAAAACTTCCCTCAAAGATTTGTATTGAAGAAATAGTGGAAATAAATTAAAATAAGATTTTAAACCGTTAATATATCGGTGTAATAATTGTCATTATTATTTCTTATTAAATTTTGGTCATTTAAATTATTACTTGAATGATCCAATTACTGAGTTGTTAAATGTTTTTGATTGAAGTTTAACTACGGCTAACTTTTTAATGGTAAACCACTAAATCTTCATCCCAACATAACTATTGTATTATATTTTAAAATATTAATAATAATAATAATACATTTATTGTGCTGTATTCAGTATACAATACAATAAGATATTAGAAATAGATAAATTGCAGAAAAGGAAATGAAAAAAATTAAAAATTATTGAAAGTTCAACCCTTATAAAATGATACATAACAACTGCTTCTGACTAATAGTTCGCACAGACTTGTAGTAAAACATTGTGTTATATAATATAGACAATAAAAAAAAGCAAAAATAGGCTACGTGCATTGTGCTTGTTGACTAAACAATTCTTGTATTAGTTTTCTTTTAAAAAGTAATAGGCCTTTGAAAGAAAGAGGAATTGTATTGTAAAGTTCATAAATATTGTAGGAGAAGCTTCTTTAAAAGGCAGACGTCCTGTCCTGTCCTATACGTTATTTCATTTATTTATTTTATAAGGCGGGCTGTTATTAAAAATAATATTATGGAAAAATGCCAAGGAGTGTAGTCTACGCCTGTTTTGCATATTCAACAATTTGGCATCCTGTAGTTTGTACGAAACTGGGTCATATTTCCTTATGACATAAATAAACCGTAGACAGCTTTTTTGCACCCTTTCAATTCTATTTGTATCGATTTTACCTAAGCATGGACCATACAATATGTGACAATAGTTAAAATAACTTAATACTAAAGAATCTGCAACTTTGACGCTTTGAACTTCAGACAATAAATGGCGATGCTGATAAAGCAACTTTTGTGAATAATACTCAACTTTCTCTCTAAACGAAGATCTATGTTAGTTCAAGATTTTTTGCACAAACGATCGATATTCTTTTCAAAGAGCATAATTTTTTGCTGGTGTAAATTGTAAATAAAAGAGGGCTCGGTATAGAACCTTGCGGCATACCGCAACTAACAGTTTTTCTAGCGGATTGACCAAGAACCGGACAATTTAAAATAGCTAACATTA